TGTGTGTGTGTGTGTGTGTGTGTGTGTGTGTGTGTGTGTGTGTGAGATCAACATTTTGAACCCCTGCCCTCGACATGCTGACATGCGCTGCAGATGTACAAAGTGAAGACGTAGCCACAACACTCATTCCTGCTTGAATAAGAGAGCAAACTGCACTTATCAAACAAGCTAACCAGCCTCACCACATGTTCGGCTCAAATGTCCGCCTGTGACTTATTAGATCGTGGTTAAGTCAAATGAAGAGCAGAGGCGGACTCGAGGAGGGGTTTCGGTGAACAGCTGCTTTCATTTCGCTCTGTAAAACTCTATATAGCAGCAGAGCTACACAGCATCTGGAGCTGAAGCCTTGAAAAGAATAAATATTTTAAAAGGACTTCAAATATTTGATGGATAATTCTCAGGGTGTGATGGATCAAACTGGCCTGAGATCTGAGCAGCACTGTCAGAGGAAGCTTCAAATGCGAGACAGGCGGATGTGATTGAAGAGAATGGCGAAAAAAAACCCAACATATTTTGTCTTTTTTCATAGAAAAGGAAGAGTCATGCTCTGTGATACTGTTAACAGCATACCTGCGCCATATCGTCCAAACAGTTGAAGATGTACTTTCGAGCCTCCTTGGACTTGATCCCCGTTTCGCCCTCATGGTCCTCTTGAGTCTGTGGGAGACAAGAAGCAGATGTTCATCCCATATCCCATCACACTTCCCCTCTGGAAACGCACTATTTACATTTGGCTCATTACGGCCTCTTGTTGTTGATGTGCAGCAGGACTCGGCTCGCCCTCTGAGCAACCCTGGGGTAGCACACAAACACTCATCTGACAGCCAGGGAAGATGGGGAGACGGGGAGACCGCACGTGGAGGCGCACAGAATATCGCATGAAGACGAGGCGACGTACAGCGAGGGTGCACGCTGCGCTACACAAAAACGTTTTGCACAAGTTCACAAGGCAGCGCACTTACATAAACTATATGAAAATGAAAAAGCAGGAATGAACACTGTGTGATCGTTCTCTTTCAAAGGTTGAAAATGTACACAAAACAAATCTGCGTCGACTTTAGAAACCTCCTGACTGAACACATGATATTTTTAATTACAGTCAGCGAAGCAGTGCAGCTGCTGTTGCATGGAAACACATGGCAAGGTCAAAGTGAAGCTGAGCAATCACTCTTGAGATAAAAAGTGGTCAGGACTGAGCCTTGATGTTTGACTTTCCACTTGAAAATCATGATGAGCTACATCAGTGGTGAGTTCAAGGTAATTATCAGGGCCGATTTGCTTCTCTTTCAATTCTGATTGAAT